ACGTTCCGTTCTTTATGAATCAATTTTGTAGGAATCATAGTTTACGGACTACGGCTGTTTGAAAGGTTTTCTTCCATAAAATTAATCGATTCTAGACTAATCCGACTCAACATTTCCAAAATACGTATATTTTTTTGGAAATAATCCGTATAAACTACGCTATAAACAAAAAATTGTAGGATTACTCACCGAGTGTGCACCATTCGACATCGCTGTTGCTCAAGCTTGTTTTCGTCACGGAACAGCACAGCAATCAATCAATCAATCAATCGTTTTTATTAGGTGCTCGAGGCACATACTCAGCACCGCAAGAGCACAGCTGAGAAAAATTATATACATTTACAATAGTACATATTAACAGTGTATACAAAACTGTCAGTTAAATACAAAATATTACAGAGAGAATAATTAATACATTAATAACATTAATACAGAATAACAATGAAATATTATTACAGAATAGCAATGTATACAGAGTTATCATATGTAGAAAATATTGCAGACAAAGTATTTAGAACTTAATAACTAACATAAGAAAAATAAACTTAATAACTAAAATTAAAGCTAAGAGAAAGTTCAATGAAATAATATAGAGGAAAAGTGTGCAGAGAAAACACCGGGAGTAACTCCATATTCTCTTGAAATAAGACCGTTATGGAGGTACCGCAAAACTCCTTGGAGTAAACTTGTCCATAAGGGCCTCCAAGACATCTTGAGTACTTGTAGAACAAGTTTTGCAGAACAAGTCTTGCAGGACAGAACCGCCAGGAATAACTCCATATTCTCTTGAAATTAGTCTGTCAGGGAGGAACCACAAATACTCCTCAGAGTAAACTTGTCCATAAGGATCTCCAAGACACCTAGAGTACAGGAGTACTTACCGAACACAAAATGCACTTGCAGAACAAGAATTAGACGAGGTCAAAAGTATTTCATGTGTAGATTGATTCATGGTAACTTATGTAGTAATTGATTAAAGCAAGAAAAAAAAAAAAAAAAAAAAATCAGGAGTTTTTCTGTTTGTATGGATGTTTGTTTATGTGGGTGAGACAATTTTGTTCACCAACTTTGAAAGTTTAATAACTCCTGTGCCTTTTGTTGAAAGTTTCTAAAATTTTGCAGAGAGGTTTGTGTATTAGGGAAATTGATACTATTAAATTTTGGTAATTAAAGGTCAAGAGGGTAGAGAAAGGAATCGTGTCATATCTCAAGTAGGGTTGGACCCAATGAAGATTTTACTAATTATTAGTATTTATAATTTTTTATAAAACATATATCTACCCTCAAAATTAAGCTTTTTATTTTATAATAATAATGCCAGAAAAGTTAAGCAACTCGTTGCTGGATTTTTTACTTTTGTGCTTAGTTTTTCTTATTTTGTAACAATATATTCCAGTAAAGATGATTCTTGGAGGCTTATCATCACATTTTTTTAATGATTATTTTTGTTTTTACACAAACATAAAATGCAAGAGACTTAATTAATTAATATGTAAATAAAGAAATCACTGTATTTTGTGTATATGATTTTTTTTAAATTTGATGCAATAACAAGAAAACACAGATTCACTATATTTACTAATAATAATTAGTGTAAAAGATCATTTTAGATAGTTTTATAACTTATAATGTAAAATTAAAATGATGAAAATCAAATATAGCCACATTCTGATTTAATCTAATTTTCGAATGCAATACAATTTATTAATGATAATTTAATATTAAAGTAAAAACTTTTCACTAACTGTAGACTCATTCTTGAATCTGCCAGTTCATCATCAGCTATATAAACAAATTAAAATTTGGTTGAATGATCAAATACATCATCATGTCTCTACTCATCTGATAATTATGGAAATGATAAAAAGTATAATTAATCATTAAATAAGAATAAAATGCTTCTCACATTTTATTTTATTCCCATTTAAATTTTAATTTATGTGCTATAAACAAATATCATAATATAGCACACAAATTAAAATACTGTCATCTCTGTCATCATGATATTTGTTTATAGTAAATAGATTAAAATACAAATAGGAATAAAATAAAATGATTTTTGAATTTTATTCTATTCTTTATGCGTATAAGTGTTTATTGTAACAAAATTTTTAATAATAAACAATGTCAGTACATATAAAAACACACGTGCATATGCATTTCATACAATATTTAATTCAAAATTATAAATTTAATAAATTGAATAATTACTTTTAGCATAGGTGATATCATCAGTTCTTGGTCTCTTTGCAGCTTCATATATGTCAGTATCAGAATCACTGTAAAAAAAATTTTTTTATCAATAATTTATTTTAAAAGTTAATAATACTGTGAGAACCCAGACTTAACAAATGAAACTTTTTCAAAAAAGAAAAGTTTTGCCAATATATAATTTCGTTGGCAGCAATATCTATCAAGTTGATATGCTTAATAGCTATTGGCTACTTGAGTGTGTTTCTTCTTATGTGTTCTCAGCATTAAAAGGAACACTTTACTGCAATCTTCCAACATGCCACCCGTATTCTGCCATTTTATATACAATTAATGACCAGGTCGGACAGTTGTCACCGGTTCCTTAACTGGAATAATCAACCCTGTGCCTCTAATGATAAAATATCATCTCCTCCAACAATGGAATATCCTCTCTGCCAGCTATGACTACGTCTCTACTTTGATTTCAGATAATTTGTTTTCCCCTAAAATGAATAGATAATTCTTTGCCTATCTCCAAACTATCCCGAGTGTCAAGAACTCTCATATGTAAACCCTCCTTGAAAGACTATCAAAACAATTATAACTCTTCTAACTCCAGATATTTATGACAACGTGTGATTTAATGTAAACTCTCTCTCACATGCAAAGTGACAATGTCTATGTCTGTTTTGTTTTGCTATTAAAAAATTGTATTTCCTTTAACAAATGAATGGGTATTTGTTTTTTTTAAACTAGTATCTGTGTGATTTACTTCTGTAATGTTTTTTCATAGACCAATCTTCCATTCCAAACCAATGCATGCAACCATTTTCATTATTATGTTTCAACGAAAATAAACAGCCAGCATGGCTTCTGTGTCTGTAGAACTGGACACAGTGGTGTCATTCTGACAAGAGCATCAAAGAGATGCCAACCTGCAGTCACAATGTTAATTATTTCAAAATTTTAAACTTGTTTATAAAATTTATTTCTTATTGAATTTTTTAATTGAATTGAAAATTTATTTCTTATTTTTTATATCCCAAAAATATGGAATATTTTTGGGATATAAAAAATATAAACAATAATAATTTCCTGATTAAAAAATTTAAATTTAATATACTTTTTATAATGTTTTTTCCAAATACAAAACAAAAAAAAAGTGATTCATATAAGACAATTTTTATTTTATAAACATTTAAATTAAAGTACTTCTTTAAGTCGGAATTCATTTATAATCAGTGAGAATGTGTTCAAATTTTTTTTTAAATTATCATACAGAAATAATGATAGAATTTGAAGTTATTCGAAAAAGTGTGGCTCTTTCATTTACTGCTTTAAATTTTCCAGCTGTATCTGTAAAGTTCATCATCAGCTATATACTTGCAACGATTTAATACTTAAACATGGAACAGCATTGCAACGTTCTCTTTCAGAATTAGAACAATTAGAAAACTTTACAGATACAGCTGGAAAATTTAAAGCAGTAAATGAAAGAGCCACACTTTTTCGAATAACTTCAAATGCTATGATTAATGCTTGCAATGAATATTTACAATTAGCTCAAACACAAGGAAGAAAATGGCAAAAAATGTTGCAACATGAACATGAACAACGTTTAAGGTTAGAGGACATGGTAGAACAACTTGCTAAACAACATTCACATTTAGAAAGAGCTGCGAAGGAAGCAGCTGCTACTTCAGGTGTAAATTCTCCAGAAGATGATGAAGAGTATGAAATGATGCCTGCTCAACCTGATAAAAATGAACTGCAAACTGTTCTGAAAGTTTTAAGTACTAAATTGGAAGACCTTAATACTTGCAACGATTTAATACTTAAACATGGAACAGCATTGCAACGTTCTCTTTCAGAATTAGAACAATTAGAAAACTTTACAGATACAGCTGGAAAATTTAAAGCAGTAAATGAAAGAGCCACACTTTTTCGAATAACTTCAAATGCTATGATTAATGCTTGCAATGAATATTTACAATTAGCTCAAACACAAGGAAGAAAATGGCAAAAAATGTTGCAACATGAACATGAACAACGTTTAAGGTTAGAGGACATGGTAGAACAACTTGCTAAACAACATTCACATTTAGAAAGAGCTGCGAAGGAAGCAGCTGCTACTTCAGGTGTAAATTCTCCAGAAGATGATGAAGAGTATGAAATGATGCCTGCTCAACCTGATAAAAATGAACTGCAAACTGTTCTGAAAGTTTTAAGTACTAAATTGGAAGACCTTAATACTTGCAACGATTTAATACTTAAACATGGAACAGCATTGCAACGTTCTCTTTCAGAATTAGAACAATTAGAAAATGATAGAATTTCAAAATCATAACTAAAAACAGAGAAAACTGTTCTGTTCATTACTCTTCATGTTTGAGGCTTTGTTTTTACACAAATACAGTAAGATCCGACTTAACGCAGGGGATGAGTTTCTAGGCAACAAAGCGCTAAGCAAAACAGCATTAAACAAGGTCATTTTAACAGAGTAAATAGGGACAGGGGAACAAGCAACCAAAAATTAAAAAATTTTACTTCAATTTTAACTTATTTTTATACTAATTTGTATAATAATATATGTTAAATAACACAAACATATGCACACACAAATGTAANGGAACAAGCAACCAAAAATTAAAAAATTTTACTTCAATTTTAACTTATTTTTATACTAATTTGTATAATAATATATGTTAAATAACACAAACATATGCACACACAAATGTAAAAGTTCATTTTTTGTGACAAAGATCCTGATTTTTCTGAAATTTTTCTTCTTTTGCAATAAAGTTGTGAAGTTTCATTTGTCGCTTTTTTCTTTCTTTAAGCAAATGTCCATAGCAGAAGACTGCATCCAAAACACCTTGTTTTTGCTTTTGTACTCCTTTCAAAATCTGGATCATTTGCTACAATTTGATCAATGATTTCAGTTATCATTACCAAACTTTTATTAAGGAAATCTGTAGAGAAATTGTTTGGGTTCTTCTTTTTCAGAATCTCTATTTTCTAGTTCTACGCAGATTCCTTGTTCTGCCAGTTCTTGAAGATCGTCATTGGTAAGTCTCTCATCAGAAACCTGCGATAACTCCTCAATATCCTGCTCATCTATATCTCCTAGTCCTGTTATATTGATTAGGTTGAGTTTGGTCAACCTAACGATACAGTGACAGACTCTTCTCATTGAGAATTCTTGGATACCTTCAGCCATAACTTCTTCCACACTCCGTTTGTACATTTATCAGTTAATTCTTGTCAAGTGAAGTTGATATTTCCTATGGCATCCATGATGTTATATTTTTTCCAAAATTGCAACAAACAAACATAGATTTAAAGAATGTACACCTTTTTGCCATTTTTTGCTGATTGGTTTGTGTTCGCAAATAATTGTATTATATATGAATCAATGAAATGTCGCAATAATTTAAATCAGCATAAATTTTGAGCTTTTTTTTAGGCTTCAAGCAGACTGCGTTATATTGAATCAGATTTAAGCAAGGCAGTGTTAAGCAGCATCTTATTGTATAATGTTTCAATTTCAGTTGAGAGCTCAAACTATTATTAGCTAAACCAGTTTTGAGCAACCTGCAATCCACAAGGACCTAATACAAGGCCCTATGGTTTAGCCAATAACAGTTTGGGCAGAGATAATAGAAATTAAAACATGTAGTATTTTTTACAAACATTACAATATTATTTGCCTATTTTCTGTCTGGTGCCATTAGGCAACCATAATTATGATATTTGTCACAGTGAACATTCAAACTAAACTTGAACCAGTGAAAAAGTGAGAATAAACAAATGGACAAAATCCAGGATTTTGAGAATATGGGTGGTGCTCAAGGCAAATTTGGAGAGTATTCAAGGCACATACCCCTATGATAATTCAGTAACATTCACAAAAGGGAATGTGTCTTTTGGAGAATGTTACTGGATTACCATATTTGAGTAATTACCATAATGTTTTACCATAACTTAGTAACATTCTCTGAAAGACACTTTTGGAGAATGTTACTCAATTACCTTAAAATTACGTAACTTTTTACACCATTCTTCTTTTTTCATTAGCTTTCTAAAATTGTTAAATAGAAGATGAAACTATACTGTATGTTATTAGTCTGCATATCATTAGCATGTCTTAGTTTAGTGCCTAGCATGCTGTCAGTTACAAAGTAATGGTACTCAACAGCTTAAAGCCTGCAACTCCATAAGAAAAAATGTACACAATCCTCCCGAAGCATAGTTTCCTTGCAATTCACATCCAAAAAAGGTTGCTTGTCACTGGGCTAAACATTTTATAGTAATAACAGAACAAGCAGAATTTCAAAACCAAAGCTCTATTAACAATTTCAATAATTTCAGTAATCTTGACTATTTTCTTCAGAATATCAGCAGCAAAATAAAATTTTATTAATTCAAAATGCTTAAATATAAAATCAGTTAAACATACCAAACACTTAACATTTTAAAATTTTAACAAATAATATAACATTTTTATTGTTTGATTAGTACTAAAACAAAATACAGAAAATTCTAAATTAATGAGAAAAAGATTTTTTGACAAATAATAATATTAATATTACAGAAAATATACATTAAAATCAATCTGAAATGTTAAATAACTTGGAGATAACTTAAAAATAGAACTGTTTTGCCAAAATACAAGAAACAGTAAAGATGAAAACCTGACAGAAATATATGCAGATATTTTTAGTAGAACATGAAAAATAATATAAATAATAAAAAATGTCTTGTACACCAAAATAACTTTAAAAACTTCTCCTTTTAAAGCAACTTTAGCAAAACATTTCAAAAATCTTTGTTATATTTAGTGCTAAACTATAAAAAAAAAAAAAAAAGCTGTATTTGAACATCACACTGTTAACTAGAAAAACCATTAAAAATGTTTGCACATTGCACTTCTTTAAACAAGTCACACTATTAATATATTAAAAGTTTGTTTATTTTTGAATTTTTAATATAAATTTCAGTTATAACTTCATTCAAAAGTACTCTCAGTTATTTACTTAATTCTTAATTATTGTAGCTGAATTTATAAATTTTGAATTAATACAAAGAGTATAATACTGTATTCAGACAGTATTCTAATATATTTTTAATAGTATATACAAATGTAAATCCGTCTCTGTAATCCAAAAAAACACACTTTGGTAGACGTATCTCACAGCAATTTTTTGGTTAGCAAATTATTTTTTATTTTCCATTGAACTACAAATATATACCAATCCGAAATATATTTGTAGTTCAATGGAAAATAAAAAATAATTTGCTAACCAAAAAATTGCTGTGAGATACGTCTACCAAAGTGTGTTTTTTTGGATTACAGAGACGGATTTACATTTGTATATACTATTAAAAATATATTAGAATACTGTCTGAATACAGTATTATACTCTTTGTATTAATTCAAAATTTATAAATTCAGCTACAATAATTAAGAATTAAGTAAATAACTGAGAGTACTTTTGAATGAAGTTATAACTGAAATTTATATTAAAAATTCAAAAATAAACAAACTTTTAATATATTAATAGTGTGACTTGTTTAAAGAAGTGCAATGTGCAAACATTTTTAATGGTTTTTCTAGTTAACAGTGTGATGTTCAAATACAGCTTTTTTTTTTTTTTTTTAGTTTAGCACTAAATATAA